ATTACCCTCTCGTTCTTTGTCTCCCGAGCTCTGACCCCCTTGGTCAGTCAGTGCTTTTCAGATATTTCTTCTGTATTCTGGGATTCCGTGGTCCCATAAGGGCAAGAGTGTAGGTGACCCACTGTGGACCAAGGTGCATGAGGAAGAGCTGTTAACCCACACACACACACACACACACACACACACTACCCACTGACTGCCAGGCACGGTGCTTGGCTCTGTCTCTTCCTCTTACTGATGTGCTGCTGTCACGGCCATCTCTGGCTCTCAGGGTGAGATCCAAGGCCTGTGTTCAGTAACAAGAGGTGCTGTGGGAACTGCTGGGTTGCCGTTCACCCCGCACTTGCCATGCGTGGGCTGTGCTGCCTCTCACTTGGATTCCGTCTTTGTCTAGCTGCCATACTGCTGCCTGGCTTGCTGGCCAACTCCTAGTTGTTACTCAAGGCACCTCTCGGGCGTCACCCCAGACGTGCTTTCCTGTTCTCCTGTCAGGTGCAGGCGCCCGCCTCCCTTGCACCCCGTGACTCTCCTGCCCTCCACGAAGGCGCAGGCAGTGACTGCTGGTCTCACGTACTCTTGCCCCTGCCAGCTTCCTCTCTCGCCCCTCTCACTCCCGTGGATGCTCTCCAGTCTCCTGTGGCTGTACCGTCTCTCCACACGCCGCCTTTATACTGTCTCACCTTTCCGGGTGGCTCCTCGTCCTCCTTTACTGTTCCAGGTAGCAAACTCCTACACGTAAGGCCAAGCCAAGCCCGACTGCCCCTGTGCCCCCCTGGAGCACCCTGGCAGAGCGTGTTCTGCTTCACAACTCACCCCAGTAGACCGGAGCTCCTTGGGTATGCTGCACCGGCTTCTTGACTGTAGCGAACAAAGCCCGGGTGTTTGCGGTGCCGTGAACGTCCCTTCAGTTTGTCTCCAAAGTGCCTTCATTCTGGGCTCCTCGGCTGCCATCTGTGCACCCTCTGCAGCGATGGTGCCAGCTTGTGATCTTCTCAGCACGTCCCAGTTTGGACTGACCACACAGTTGTATTCACATGCTGCCTCCTCTTGTGCAGCACAGTCTCCTGGCAGAGCCTCTGATCTCCTCGGGATAGCGTGGTCTTTTTTTTTTTTTTAATATTTATGTATTTATTCATTTATATATGTAACAATAATAATTAAATAAAAGGGGGCCATGAATTTGAGAGTGAGCCATAATGGAATATGGGAAGAGTTGGAGAGGGGAGAGGGAGGGAAAAATTATGTAATTATATTTTAATTTTTTTTAATGCCGAATGTCGTTTATTGGAGGAGGTCTTGAATACAGGCCACAGCACAATGGGAAAACCCTGGAAGGCAAAAGTTTAGCATGGTCTTTCTTATCAGACTCTAAGTGTATAGTGTTCCAGCCTCCTCCTCCTCCAAAAGAGCATATAGCAATCCCCTCTGTATGTATCCGGTGTTACCAGAAGAACATGTGTGATATGATGGGTGTGTGTATGTTTGTGTGTGTGCATGAGAGAGAGAGAAACCAAGAGCATTGAATCCCCTGACTATTCCTTTCACTGGGCTCATTTTCTTCTCTCCTTATAAAATACCCTGTCCTATATGAAAGGTCTGTCATTCATTATGTGTTTCATATTATTCACATTTTCTTTGTAAAATATATATATATATATATATTATTCTACACTCTAAAGGATAAATAATAACACTTTTTATTTTAGCTTAGCCATGTTTTGAGGTATGTCCATATTAATACCTGTAGCTTTAGATGGTTTAAGTTGCTGCCAAGAGTCTCATGGTGTCGGTGTTCCAGCTTGCTTACCCATGTTCTAGATCTGTGTTTTCATTGTTTTCCATTTTTCACCGAATGTCTGGTTTATAATGGATATTGTTGTACTTAAAGGAAGGCTGATCTTTCTCTAACTTTAAAGGGTATTTTCGGAGTTGTGCCCCTCTGACTGAATACTAATCACCCTGAGGATCAGCTTTGCTTCCATTTGCAATGAGCTTTCTCTGTGCATGTAACCGTCCTGCATCTTTAACTAGCACTAAGCCAGTGCTGAGCACTTGGAATGCAGAGCTTAAGCAGAAGTTACTTTTCTCACTCTGCAATTTGCAAGTCATTCTCATACAAATTTAGGTCATTTTGCCTTAAAAATGCTAAATGAAAGCCAAAATTAGAATTTTTAAAAAAGCACACACAAGATTTTGCAAGCAGTAGCTATAAAGTGTGAGAGGAAAGCCTATTAAGTTGTATGAGAATAACAACTTAGAGTAAGTGTGAATTCTGTGTCTCATTCATGATAGAGAGCTGGAAGAGACCTCACATTAGCTGTTCTTGCGCTAACTTTCTTCAAGCTGGAAACCAGACCACAGCTTCTTGGGGAAGTGTGCTTCAGACTTGCTGCCCTTAATCAGCAGATCCTCCCTCGTGCTCAAATGAAGCACCTTAGGTTGGGATTGCAGCTCGTTCCCTTGTTTGGTCTCCTAACAAGGGAAACAGACTGCGAGTGTTCATTTATAAGGTAAACAAACAAACTGGCCTATCTTTTCCAAAGAAAACAGTTTCAAGTGATTTTTCCACTGAAAGAGAGAAGAGGATGTGAATCTCAACGTCCCTGATTTTGTGAACTGAGAGAGCAGCCTTGCATCCCCACTCTGCACCATCAACAAGAGACATGCTTTGTTCCTCCTGGCTCCTCCTCTTGCACCAAGGTCACCTCTAAAACCTTTCTATGGTTGTTCCCTTTTGGAGCATCCAGTTTATGCCTCTGAGTTGTGCCATGTCCTATGATAGAACTGACCTCAAACTTCTGTAGTCTCAGCATCCCTGGGGATGGGAGGTTGGTTCAGTCAGTGATGTACTTGCCTTGCAAGGTCAGGAACCTGAGTCCCATCCCAGAACCCACATTAAAAAGCCAGGGATGTTAGTCAGAATTTAAACTAGGAGTACATCCCTGTGGTGGAATAATTGCCTAACATGCATAAGTCTTTGGGGTTAATGTCCAGCACTGCAGGCCATAGGGAGGGAAATTTAAAAAGTGAAAAGTGGTTTGGGGCTGTAGCTTAGTGGTAGAGCATCCGTCCAGTATATGTGGATCCGTGGGTCAATCCCCAGTACTGCCAAAAACAAAAAGCAAAGAAAAAATAGACAAAAATGCACTGTAATCTAAAAAGAATATTTAGTGGTCTCAACTTCTTGAATTATCTTGCTTGATGCATCTGAAATAATTAGGGCCTTTCCAAAATTGATATTCAAGTCAATGGTCTCTTTAAAAGACCATCACTAAGAAATACTAAAATCATAGTTTTAGCATTTTAAAAAAATACTACAGATCACACCTCGAGTTTAGATGGGAAGTATATAGAACCAGAATCGCCTTTATTATTAAGCTTCCATCTAACCACAGAGTCCTTCCTTATTGATTAGATGCAATGCATTTACTATTAGAATATATGACTATATATATTTACTATTAGGACATATTTATGTGTATACATAAAATACATATTTGTGGCTATCTTCCTATATATTCCTATATATGACTTGGCTTTCATCATGATAAAATCTTTCTACTTATCTCAAATAATAGTACTCCTCATTCAGTCTACTGTGTCTGTAGTTAACATGGCCATCCCAACTTTCTGATAATTATGAACTCATATCTGTCTTTAGATTTATCAGTGTTTCTTTTAAAGAGCACATGGTTAGGTCTTGATAGTCTATCCAGTCTTATAAAAAAAAAAACCTGCCATTTAATTGGAGTGTTTAGTCCACTTACATTTAATGTAAATCACCTTTTATTTAGTTAGTTAGTTATTTAGTTATTTTTGGTTTTTTTCAAGACAGGGTTTCTCTATGTAGCTTTGCGCCTTTCCTGGATCTCGCTCTATAGACCAGGCTGGCCTTGAACTCACAGAGATCTGCTTGCCTCTGCCTCCCAAGTGCTGGGATTAAAGGCGTGCGCCACCGCCACCACCGCCTGGCTATTATAGCTTTATTATGATGCCTTTTAGACCACAGTAATCCATATTTTGAAATATTCCTGTTATAAAGTGACCATCTGAGAACTCACCTTAATGCTCTTGAGACAAGTTTTATCCACTGGCTGGTTCTTCAACCTACTGTCAGTTCCAAAATCTGTTTATTATATGGACCCTAAGCAGTTCACTGTACATCTTATGGGATCTTGCTCTCACTGGTACAGCACATACGTTTCCGGACATTCAGATTTCTAGACATTTCTTGCGGTTTCCTCCCACCTCATATTCTGCAAGTTCAAGTGACAGAAACTCACTATTGTTGGGGTCTCATGTCTCTCTTGTTTTAGGAATTCTGATCCTATTGTTTTGATTCATCCAAAACCATTGTTCTATGTATTTCCTCTAAGTTTTCATTGATTGCTTTTCATCTGGTACCAGTTAACCCATCATGACCAGAAGTAGAAGTCTCATTAAATGTATGCTTAAAATCACTTTTCTGGAGAAATGGCATCTTCTGTGTCTGTGGTCCTGTACACCAGAAAAGCAGACTAAGCCGGCATACTCACTTGAAAGAGTAAACAACCAGGATCCACGGGCCCAGGTGGCTTAGCGTGGCTTATGTGGAGACTGCCACCAGCTAGTCCTGTTTGCATCCCAGTTTTCCTATCTCTGTCCTTTTTCTCACTGTAGTGACCTTTTTAGATTCTTCCTGTGTTTAAGACAAAGTTTTAACCTGTGAAACTTGTCCAGTGAGACCCTTATTATTTAAACACCCCCGTACTCCACTGTGTTAAGTGGATAGTGCTATTGATGCTGCTGTTAACACAGGCATGAGAAGAATTATTTATGTGCTTCTGGCCGTACCGAGTTACTGCCTACCCAGTTGCCTTTGCAGTCCACTCAATAAACCTATTTTGTTCCTGAAATTACTTCAAAACAGATTTCAGAATAGCTAACATGCTATGGGACTATAAATCCCATATTAGACCTTTAGTTTTCTTAATGTAATTGGGTTTTCCTTTGTTTTTCAGTTTGTTTTCTTTGCTGTCTAAAAAACACAACAAAGTTCTGGAACAAGCCACCCAGTCCTTGAGAGGTTCCCTGAGTTCCAGCGATGTTCCCCTCCCGGATTATGTAAGTAGCTACCTTATCGTCATCACAACTTTCTCTGTGTTTAGAGTTAGAAAAAACAGTGCTTCTCTCCTCTCAAAGCCTAACTGTGCTCTCAGAAACCTTAACAACTTTTCATGGTTCTTATGAAATAGTTGAAGAAACCAGCCCCAACAGTGAGAGTTAATAATCAAGAATCCTACTAATTGAGTCAAAACAAACAAACAAACAAACAAACAAACAAAAAGCTCTCAAGCCAATTACACCATGACAGAAGGAAACACCCAGAGCTGTGTAGAGTCCCTACCTCAGAATAAATTAACAAAGGAGGAGCTTGCCATTTATTTCATAAAATGTGTTGAATATACATAGTCTTGAAGTCCCCCAATAGTATTTTCCAATCATCACAAACCTATAAAATTGATATTTCTGAGAGGAAATGGTCATCTTCAATGATACTTGTCTTGGGTTTTTTGGGGTTTTGTTTTTTGTTTGTTTGTTTGTTTTTGTTGTTGTTGTTTGGGTTTTTTTTGTTTTTTGTTTTTTGTATTTTTGAGACAGGATTTCTCTGTGTAGTTTTGGTGCCTGTCCTGGATCTCACTTTGTAGCCCAGGTTGGCCTCGAACTCGCAGAGATCCACCTGGCTCTGTCTCCCACATACTGGGATTAAAGTTGTGCGCCACCAACCGCCTGGCTTAATGATACTTGTCAATCATGCATGTGACCGTGTAATGGTAGAACAAATTTGTGATATATATTTGAATTCTGTATTGAATGTCAGTTTTTAGTCACTATTTAGCAGGTTTCTTCATCCATAAACTTCAGTGCATCTGAAGCCTCTGCTCCCTAGAGTCACTGGGGAAATCTTACGTGGGACCTGTCACTGTGTCCCTTGCATTAACACTGAGCACATGAGACTGTCTCACACCCGCCCTGGTCAGAGCTCATGGAACGGGGGTGACTGCAGCTGAATCACTCTGTGCCAGGGATCCAAAAGGTGACTCAAGAAAACAGTAGTAGGCCTGCAGCATGACTCAGCAGGTAAAGAGCTTGCTGCGCAAGTGTGATGACCTGAATTCAATCCCCAGAACCCAGTAAAAGTGGACGGAGGGATGGAATTCCACAAAATTGTCCCCTGACCTCCATTCACACACTGTGGTGTGCTTACACACACACACACACACACACACACACACACACACACACACACGAATAATGAACAGAATAAAACTAATTTTTAAAAAGTGTAACCTTAAAAATAAGCACTGCAAAGTGTTCTCTCATGATGCCTCAGCGTTTTATTGGCCATTCCGCTGCGAGGCACTGTACGTAGGTGACGGTGACGGGCACATTTGAAACCAATCTCCTTGTCGTTTTCTTTTAAATTAGTCGTTAGCTAGGAGATGGATGTGCTCCCCTTTTTTCTATTCCTCAGAATTTTAACCTGTTCAGTATCCTTGGCAACAGCCACAGGATTCTGTGTTCTGGACTAGCCCCCGCTGGCTTGTTCGTCAGGCTGGAGAAGGAGAAGGAAAGGGCCTCCGGAGTCCCAGATGTGTGCCTCCTGCACCAGACTGGAGACACCATATTAGCAGATTTAATAAGTGCTCCAAACTAAGCCTGTGTTTCCCTTCTTACTGTAACACATAGAACACTCAGGGTCTACACAGAGGTTTCTGAGTTTATTAAGAAAATGTTTATACTCATTACACTGTATAATTCACGAGTCAGTTGAGTAACAACGTAAAAAGCACATTGCAAGTTACAAAAATATTAGTGTTAGTACTTTAGTACACCCGTGTTTGTCTAAACACCTCGTGGGAAACCCTTCCGTCAAGGGTTAGATAATGAGGAAACTGCCCTGGCTGCTTAAGGGAAAATAATACAAAAACTGTACTCTAGTCCTCAGTGGAGTGCACCCTGGGGGCAGTGGAGGCGGCAGAAAGAGCAGCTGATGCTCCATGCTGCCGTGGATGTGTCTCCGTGTGAGGCTGTCACAACCGAATCCAGTGAGCGAAAGGACAGAGGAGCGCTGAACAGCCTTTAAAAACCGTACGGTACCACTCGGACAATCTTGTCATGTGAGCAGAGCCTGGATAGTGCAGAAAGGGATGGCAAGTAAGTTGTAGGTGCTTTTAAACTATCATGTTTTTCAAATGATTGATTCTGTCAGTGTCACAGAGGGCATTTCCTTAGCTCCATCAATCACCCGAGCAACTGTTTGAAGTAAGGAAACCCTGCCTTTTGTTCTGGACAGAACCACAGAAAGGATGTTGTCAGCCCTCTATCACAGAGCTTTTGGATCGTCTGTAGGACTGAATCTGTCACCTCACTCGGGTAGTACGTAAACACAGGTAGAAATTAGAAGGCCCCCAGTGGTGGTCCTTAGGAGAAGGATGGGGCGGGACAGTCAGCTGAGCAGGCGCAGTAGCAGCTCCGCGCAGTGCCAATCAAAGATGCGGGTATGAGTCTCATGCTCCTTGGAGTCTTGTCTTAATTTGTCTGTCATACAGAACAAGAATTCTGTCCAGAGGCTACTTGATGAGTGACACCTACAAGAACGAGCACTTCAATATTCTTCTGTCACAAATGTTCCTTGGTTTTAAGTTGTCCTATGGAAAATCCCAGTGTATGTAATTGATGTGAAAACAGCTCTCTCAGAGCATCTGGTTGTTAGAAAGTGTAAAGATGTCTCTTGAGACCAAAACCTTAGAGAACCATTGAAGTATGGGATTGTATTATATACACACACTCACATTCTCCGATGAAATACACATTGTTTTATGCTGTAATTATTTCTCTGCCCATACAGTTGAATGCACTTTATAGGCACAGAAATTATTTTCTAGGCTGAAAAAAAAATAGGTTTGGAGGTTGGGGAGATGATAGGCTTTCCAGGCCAGTGCAACCTTAAACTCACTGCACCCTCCTGCTTCCACTTCCGGAGTGCTGGGATTCCAAGCATGAGCCCAGGATGTCTACCAGCTGAGCTGCATCCCTCGCCCTGTGCATATTAACTGATAAGGGTAAAGCCCAACTCTGCAAACTGCTATTGGCTGGAGAGGTCCTGAGTTGAAAGTCTTATCTGTGTGGTGTGGAATGAGAATTGTTTGATCATTGTCTAGGTAAGGATTTATTTTTAATATGTGATGAACATGAGCTATACTTGCTTATTAAATTTCTTCACTAATTACTACATGATCTGTATGTTAGTTTTATTTTAGTTTGATTCTTGAGGAAGTTGTAGCCTTTTTTCTTTTTACTTCAAAACAAATAAAACGTTGAGCTTCTCCTTGTCTGATTTTATTCCTGGCTATCTTGGTTTTTAGCTTGCTAAGAATCAAAGCTATGTTCCTGAAATTTGTTTTCATGAAGTCACACTTGCTTATCAGTACTGTTCCACATGGAACCCCAAGCTGCTTCGCCATTGAATAGACTGCCTGGCCCTTTGGGTGGACCGCACTCAGCAATGGTCTTTTGCACTTGTTGATGTGATTGTGTCTGCTTTTAAACATTCAGTGTTTGCAGGAGTATAGTAGGAGTATTCTGACCTGATTCCTCTACCAAGAAAACTTAACCCTGAGGTCTTCCTGTGTTGTTCTGTCGTTAACGTTTCTTGTTAGTGTTTGTTCTTTTGCACTGGGCCTAGATAGAGAATGTACTATTCACACACCGTGGAACAGGTTATCTTGATCATACTGGTGTAGCCAAAAGCAATGAAAGTGCTTTTGTCATTTTTAAAGTAGTTCCTTTTTGGTGTTTCACTTTAGAAACATGTTCATGGTTACTGGCTTTACATGTATTTACTCGAAGGAGAGTGACATGGACCAGTATATTAGTCTTTGACAAGTCTTCTCTTTTGGAATTCTGTTAGCATGGCTAAAGTGAAGAGTACATACTATTGCACATAAAGAATTTCAAATGCACCAGTAAAATAAAATCCAATGGATGGTTTATTTTATAAAAATCTATAACCAAACCTAAGGGATGTCCGAAGAGAAATGGGGATGGGGGGACAGCATTCTGGAAGTAGGGGAGAGGTTGTGGCAGCCCCCTCTGAAGGGAGTTGATAATTGAAGTAGATACTATTGCCTTGTTGTATTTTGATTTGACATTTTGAGGCAGAGTCTTGCTATGTATCCCAGGCTGGCCTTAGAACTCACAGCATAACCCATACCGGCTTCAAACGTGATCCTCCAGTGCTCCACCCACAAGTGCTGGGATTACAGGCCAGCAGCACCATGGCCTCCTTGGGGAATGCTTTTCAAAGGAGAGATTTAGGTGAGAAAACATTCCGGTAGTTTCTCCCTTTGAACAGTGGCTTACAAGTGAAAAAGAACAGTGTACTCGTCACTGGGTGCTTTAGGTGTGGCAGTGTTCAGCTTATGCGGGTGCTCGAAAATCATACATCAGCCCTTTGATGCCATATACAACAGGTAACCAAGAATATGCCATAGACCTAACTGTAACAGCTGAGCGTCATGCAGTATTTAGAGGAAATATAAGTAAATCGTCAGGAGTTTGTCTCAAGCAAAGACTTCTTAGATATACCAAAAGCACAAAGAACAAAAGAAAAGTAGATATATTGGACTTCTTCAACATTTAAAACTTCGGGTAGAATGCTTATCTAGGATTCCCAAGGCCTTGGGTTTGTTCTCTAGTATCATATAACCCAGGTGTGATCGTGCACTCTGGAATCCCAACACTTGGAAGGTGGAGGGAGGCAGGAGGATGCAAAGCTCAAGGTCATCATGGGCAGGGCCAACCTGGGCCTGAGACCCTGTCTCCAGAAAAATGAAAACAAAGGTAGCACTAAGGAGGCAGAGGGAAACAGATTTCTGTGAGTTGGATGCCAGCCTGGTCTACATAGTGGGTTCCAGGAGAGTTGGACCTATCTAGAGAGACCTTGTTAAAAAAACACACTGAAGAGTGAAAGGATAACCCACCAGCCCACAGAATGGGAGAAAACATTTTCAAATCCTGTATCTAGACCATGTGAAAAGCCTTACAATTCAATAGTAAAA